GGTTCGAATCTCACTCAGGGCATGGATGTTTAGTTTGTATGTGTGCATTTTTCTGTGTTTGTATACAGGTAGAGGCCTTTCGACGAGCTGATCACCCATCCAAGGAGTCCTACCGAATGTGTAAGATCTAGAAAAACCGAAGCGAACGGAGAAGTTGATGGAGGTAGGCCTAGGCCTACTGTGGCTGTAGTGCCAAGGGAAAAAGAAAGTCTATTTACTAAAGTTGAACTTGGGTATGTAGTGCAGTTCGAACTGTAACCCATAAAATTAATTAAACTAAATACATTACAGTCTCATAACTTAAATCAATTAAAATTAAGTCACTATATGCTATTTTTTATGTATTACATATTTAATATCTGGAATCGCTTGGAATTTGCAGTAGGATCTTGTAATTTTCTGCTATGTGTAACTCCAGTTCCCCTGTGTGCTAATTCATGAAATTGAAATCACGATTGCTTTTAGAGTAAACTGGCCCATTCTGCTGACCTTACTCTTCATGTAAACCAATGATCGCCCTAAACACACAAACAGGCATCAAGTTTGCCCTTCTGAAACAAGTTGCTTTGATATTAGTATACTATTTCCGCCGATATGATTCATGGCAAGTCACTCGGACATGGTCAATACTACTCCACACACACAGATGCTGCTGCTCATTTGATCATTCAGTTTTGACCAAACTAACTGGCAGTAAATCATAGAAGCACCTCAGGTAAATCTAAAATATAGTTTCTAACAGAATATCTGGTAAGTGTTCACGCTTTTACGTCAGGCCCACATACAGGAAACAACAAGCCCAGGGGCACGGGCACCTGGCCTGTGGGGGTCTAAAATGTACTTTAATTTAATTTAAAATTGATAAGAAGTAAACAGGGATGTGGGAATTCCGTTTCATTTAGTTATTAGCTTATTATTCTTGGTGTTTTATCCAATTCGTTTACACTGTTTAGATAATTCCAAATTAAAAACAAACATATGCATTGTGCTTATCGAGATTTCGAATCAGGAATACATTTTAATAATATTAAGTCACGCGTTTCATGTAATTTGTAGTATTATGTGGGGTGAGGGCCTCCGCATTTGTGACTGGCCCAGGCTCCATCTCACCTCTCTCAGGCCTTATCTATGATTTCATTTCAGGAAATGTAAAACAAAAGATCAGAAAAAATTTCTCGATTGGTGTAACAATGGGCTATGGGCTGGACGGCCGGATTACGATTCCTGGCAGGGGCAAGATATTTTCTTTACTTCACAGCGTCCAGAACAACAGTGAGGCACCCAGCCTCCTATCCAATGGGTTGACTATTTCCCCGGGGGTAAAGCTGCAGGGGCGTGTAATATCGAGTTCAAAATGGTGGAGCTATACCTCCGCTCCTTTGTACGCCTTCGTGGAGTGATGCTTAATTAATGAAGCACAAAGATAAATTTACCATTACTTTTTATAGAGGAATTTGTTTCAGCGCCTGAAATATATTCGAGAAGTACACAGTTCACATCTCGTCTGTCATGCGTTTTCTCAGTTAGGTTGCAGGATACGAAGGGACGAGCCATGAACATCGCGAAGATGAAGAAGGAACGTTTAAAAAATTTGGAGAGAATACCTGAAAAATGATTCTTGAGAATAAGCTGAAGGTTAGAAAATGCCAGGGATATCCTGTAACGGGATGGAAGGAAGGAACGGTTTTAGTCTTTGCAACAGGGACACACCAAAACGATCCCTGACGATGAAGATGATGGTTTGGAAAATGAAACGGACTGACCTTCTCATTGCAGGTTCCCTACCAACTTTCTTTAAACTCTTGTTTTGTGGTAGATCCATCGTGATGGAACTGCAGATACCGTTCCGTCAGTATGGGAACCATCCTTCCCCCAGTTCGAAACTACTTGCATGACCACAGCCCACCACCAGTACTTCCTGCGAGGAGGCATTGTGGATATTGTTCGGTGTGTTTCTTAGGGAGAGCAACTCGCCCACTTCCAGCATTGCTTTGCTCTGCCCACAAGATGTCTGTCTTCTCTTCCCCTCCCGCTCCAGCGGCTTATCCCAAGGGACGCCATTTTGTCGTCATCCCCCATGTACAGCTACGTGTAGTATATATAGGGATGAGCTTATTGTAGGGGACTCGGAATTACGAGAAGGAGGGTGTTCGCTGTGGGGTTGACACCCGCCAGGAAAGGAAAACTGGCAGCCAGATCTTCTTTCACAACTCCCCTCTGCATTCTGCGTCTTCAGACCTGGACCGGAACTGCTCTTCATGCAATGTTCGTGTCAGCATTGCTTTACACCAGCGGCCTCTGCGATTAGGTCGGTGATCTGTTCCGTTCAAATTAAGTCGTCTTTCTTTAATCCTTACAATGAGGCTTTCAGCATTCCTTCACCCTCGTCGACAGAAGTTTAAAACTCTTTTCGGGATAAGATTTTCTTCCATCTTCACAACTTCTTCCATCACTCAGCTGTGTACTCAAAACTTCTGTCTACAATTAATTAACGATTATTTTCCAGTGTATTCACTTTGCCGTTTGTATCTGAGCGCGACTCGTTATAAAACATGTTTCAGGACTACCAATTCTTTCATAAGGGCATTTCGAATAGCAAATATTTCGAAAACAGCCTGAAGTTTATTCCCATTTCGATGTTGGTCCGTCCGTAACAGGCGCCAGACTACTTGACAGATTTGGATCGAACTCGGTCTAGCGGATAATTTTAGTTAAGGACCTGAATTGCCTTATGCATGCAGGCCTCTCTCCTGAGTCTTATGGCAAATGTTGATGGAAAATTTATATTCGGTACTTGCATTGCTCATGTGTTGTCACGTACAGGTTTCCTCTTTTAAATTATTTAATTTGAATTTTACTTAAAGGCGTAATAGAGCTTCTGCATGTATCTACCTAACCTATTGATAGATTCTGATGAAATATAACATAGCTTGTGGCCATTGGGTATTTTTACATCCGTCGATACACAACAGCCCCGACAGAGTCCAAACGACCACCTACAAGACAACACGGGAATTCCCCATATACCACATGATAACAACGTCTTGAGGACAGTGCCACCACAACCAACTTGCAACCCGATTAAACGGGAGATAGCGCATGTGAACATAGGGGAGTTCATAACATCACACCCACTTAGGAAGGAACTAGACCAGAGCGACCAGTATACCAACGAAACAGATATACAAGTATGCATTTAATCTCAATTTCGACCTTAATTTATCCTTTAATTAGACATACATTAATTTGACTAATTATATCTAACACTAACATAATTGGACTAAACAGTAGATAATACCAAGAATTGTGTTACCAAGCATAATATTACATGTTATATAGTCATATTCAAAATGTGGATCCATATTAAGTAGCAAGTAAAGCACTTAAGCACAAACAATATACCTGATGATAGGGGCCGAAACATGTCATGCTTTTAAGATTTTAATGTAAATAATCAATACTTATATATTTTATAAAAAATTGTTGTATTGACAGCTGTAAAACTACTCAGAATACCCAATGACACTCAACAGGATGCAGCACATAAAGAGAGAGTACAGTACTTACGTCGTACTTGATTATCACGTTATGTATCATTAACTTCATCTCCGTATTAACGCATCATGTTGCCTTGTATTTCACTTAATATTATGTTCCTTTCTTCCCTCCTATACGCATTATTACTGTACCAGCTTAGTGCACAGTGTCGTTGTGAACGGTTAAATAAATTCACATAATCCTAGAATATCACTAGAAGTTTAGGATTTGAGGTTCCCACAGCGCAGACTATGAAGAAATCTATCTCCTGGATATAATGTCTTGTAAGTAACATGTAAGTAAAGGTATCCCTGTAGCAGGCCGTGGAGGCCCAGAGGGTTGTGAGACGTCGAGGCTCCCACATTTTCTAGATAATCGGCTCACAGATGGCAGTGAGGATGTCAGCCTTACTCGCCAGCCGCCCTTTACCCCCAGGAAAATTCTTGGTACTTATTTCTGTTAGAGGCTGAGTCGAACCCAGGGCCATAGTCCGGCTGAGGATTAGGTCAATCTAAAAATCTAATGACGTTATGTTTAGTGAAATTATTTGCCATATATTTCAATATATAAATAATGTAATTTTTTAGTAACTAAATATATTGACAAATTTTACTTTGACCCAGATGCAGAGAATTTCTTAATTACAATTCATTTTATGCTAATATAGGCATATTCCTTGTTGCTAATATCCATATAAAAGGCTTCGATTTCAAAAGTAATCCGAATATTTTCAGCTCTGTTACTCTATTTCTTTAATTTTTATCCCGTTCCACAGGCCCATCTTGGCAGTACTAGAAATTTTGGCGACAAAAGGCAAATGACGAAAAGAAATATGTAATAGTCGCAGAAACTCAGGGATTTGTGAATTTACGTGTACATACCCAAGGAGTCCGAAAATATGGGCTCACGTACCTATCTGGAAGCCCCGTTGTATCTTGTATGGGTTAATTGAAGTTGTGGGGGGGGGGATGTGGTTAAAAATTCGGATATAAAGACGTTACAGATATTTAAAAGTCAGCCACCATATTGTCAGAAATGTGTATCTCTTCGTCGAAAGCCTCCTTTTATAACAGGCTTTTTAGCGCACTTAATTACATCCTAGTCATCCTTGAAGATTTGTGTTTCGACACAATTCCGTCTTACTTCGCCACATTATTGAAAGTTCTACAATTCGACTAATTTCTGTACTCATTCGAAAATTAGCAACACTACCTCCGTAAGGAGGACTATATTTATAAATACAATTCCAAACTCCGTATCAATTTCATGGACTAAATTAACACAGTAACATGCTCTATTTTTAAAAAATCTCACTAGCTATAATTACCATCTACCTTGCAAATAATGCACCGAATTTCATGAATAATACCGGAGCACCACACACGACATGATAATCACTGAAAAGAAAAGTACTCAGCATGCGTTCTCTCATTCTGCGTGCTATATTACGTTCTGTGTCTTACCTGTCGATGATAACTGGATCAGACGGGGTCTCATTCCTGTTCCCACAGCTTTTCTTGTCACAACATCGACTGCAAGGGAAAAAAACCGTGGATGAGATATTCTGTTTATTTGTCCGTATATTAACAGACAGTGTCTCAACTGCAGCCACTCACTCATTCAGCTGAGCCCTTCTTGAGAAGCCGCCAATTGTACAGCTACTCAAGAATTTCCCAGCATATCATGGAACCCGAAAGTTCATTACCATGATCAGAAGAGCCAACCACCGGTCCTATCCTGAGCCAGATCAATCCAATCTATACCATTCCATTCTATCTCTCTAAGATCCATTTTAATATTTTCCACCCACCTACGTCTTGGTCTTCCCAGTGGTCTCTTTCCTTCTAGCTTTCCCACAAATACCTTATATGCATTCCTCTTCTCCCCCATTCTTGCTACATGACCTGCCCACCTCATGCTCCTTGACTTGATCATTCGAATTATACTTTGAGAAGAGCATAAATTATGAAGCCCCTCATTTGCAAAATTAACTTACTTAATCCTCTCCTCATATCTTTTCGGTGTCGAGGTTGCTTTCTTATTTCGATCATTTGTCAGACCGTAGGGCTCCTTGGACGAGTGATCAGCTCTTCGGAAGGCCTCTACCTAATGACAGGACAACACGAACGCAGAATAAAAGCATACACACACCAAAATTCCATGCCTGAAGTGGAATTCGAACCCACGACCCCTGTTTCCGAGTGAACGAAGACAGTACATGCCTTAGACCAGTGGTTCTCAGCCGCCCGGTCGCTGCCGGGTACCGGGCCCTGGCATAAATTATACCGGGCCTCATCTTATGAGAAATTAATTTACCGGGCAACAGTCCAGCAAAAGTTGAGAACCACTGCCTTAGACCTCTCGGCTACCGTGATCGGAAAAATTTATTAACGTTGGATGAAACTGGATTCAACTTTACCTGATCATGTTCCAGTGGCAATCTCTTCTAAACGCACTAATTTAACTTCGGTTTGCCTAAAGTCGGGGAAATTTTTGATAAGCTGATCTTATTCTGACTGAAGATTCTTGTGAATACCCTTAGTTACTTCAAGGACAATACTGGGATAATACCTCGAAATCAGCCACTACAACTTCCTACCGCATTCTTCCCGATTCATTACTCATGTCACATCAGCACCTGACGCCATATAGTCTGAGTTATTTAGAGCGTCCTTACGTATAAGCCTGCCACAGATAAACATAAGAAGTATGCGTTTCATTGATGTAGTCTGACAGCTAGCTGGGTTTGTACGAGTAGCTATACTATGGAGTCATTCAGTCAGTAGCCAATCAGTCAGCCAAGTATGGAATTAGTTAATCAGCCAGATAACCAGGCACTTAAGCAACAAGGAAGCCAATAATTCAACCATAAAACCAGTCACCTAGTTATCCTGCTATCCAATCAATCAGCCAGGTAGCCAGACACTTAGCCACATAGCTAATCAGTTGATCAGCCGAGTAATTAATCATTCAATCAGCCAGATATCCAGTCAGTTAGGCAACAAGGGAGCTAATAAATAAGTAATCCAGGCAACCAGTTAACTAGTCATCCAGGTAGTCAGTCACTTAGCCATGTAGCCAATAAGTTATTCAGCCAGGTAGCCAGTCAATTAGTTGGCCAAGTAACCAATCAATAAGCCATCCTGGTAGCCAGTAACATAGACAGATGAGAGAGTAACTTAACCAGTCAGTTATTTTACCATTCATTTAGAGGAACTAATTTCTCAAAAATTAAAAAATGAAAGTTTTAAGCTCCGCGTCGTTGAATGTAAAGTCTTGTAATGTTTGTGCCGAACGAATGACTAGAACACACTTGGAAACAGATCGGTGAGTCAGTCTAAAGCAACGGTGCGCGGGGGAGACGTCCCTTGAGATTTGACTCCTCCCCATTACTTGGTTTTAGGCTCTCTTCGACTGAGGTGCAATGGGGAAGTTCCTTGCGCATATCGCTCCCCCCTATCGCTATTTCTACTGGGCGCACAATTCTAGTGTTGATGGTCACGCGAATGAGGCAGCCCCAGTCTTCGGTTTGGAGATTAAAACTAAGCGAGTGAAGTAGTTACTATAGGATTCTGACGATGGAGAGTATAACACACTGATATGTTGGGTTTTTGGACTTTTAAACCAGGACGATGGATAAAGTCCAAAAACCCAACATATCAGTAAGCGAGTGAAGCCCCTCACTCATATTTCATAGATTCCCAGATCGAGCCCTGGAGGAGGATGCTCAAACTAAGGTTTCATTGACGATCTCTCTCCCTATGTCAGTAATTTGCGAAACACTTTGAAGTGCGTGAAGTATTCCAGGTCTTTCGCAGGGAAGCGCTTCAGGGCACAGGTTTCAAGAAACGTATCGTTTTAGGCGAAGGTGCGCATGCGCACAAAATATCCCGATATACGTGGACTGGGCCCTGATAATTCATTTATATATATATTTCTTTTTCTTTCGTCTGTTCCGTTTAATATCTGAGAGAATGGCTGCTCCAGCTTACTTTACTTTTCGAAGATAAATTATTTGTGAAGTCCGATGTTAATATTTAAGAGGTGATGAACTATACTAACTAGACATTTCGAGGGTGAGACTTAAAAGACTCGAAACAAACTCCCTGGCCTGTAATCCGCGAGCGAACTACACCGATCGAGGGACCGCCGCTTGTGGCGAAGTTAGCCAGGGGACTAAGTCCCTTGAACTGCGGCCACTTCTGGCGTATTGTACCAGCCCCAGATGATAGGCGAGGGTGATTGTGGAGCAATTGGAGGAATGAAGATTGGCCGGGGAAACAGAAGTACTCGGAGAGAACCTGCTCCAACGCCACTTTGTCCACCACAAATCCCACTTGACCAGACCCGGGATCGAACCCGGGCCGCCGAGGTTGGAAGCCAGCGACTGACCGCTTGAGCTATGGCACGGCCCAGCACAGGTCTTACTTTATGCACATGGGTCTCCATCTGTCCCTAATCATAACTTAACGTCTGACAAAATTATGCAGTTTCATAGGAGAATGCGTTAGATATAAATACTGTCTTTAATACGCCTTCTGTTATTATAGAAAGGATTTATATCAGAATATACAGATATACAGTGAATGGAGCTGTGAATAGCAGATGAGTGATTAAATATTTCATTCATTCACTTTATTCGTCGATGGCTCTACAGCCCTTTGTTGGGCCCTGTCCTCTTCTTCAGTATCGTAATGTTTACACAGATGGTAGGACTCCTTGAACTAGTGATTAGCCCATCGCAAGGTCGCCACCTACACAAAGGACAACCAAACTCAGAATAAATGCACACACAAACATCCATGCCTTTGAGTGTGTTTCGAACCCACGATCCCATCGTCCTAGCGAGTGAAGGCATTGGGTGGTTAAGTATACTTAATAGCCTTACGATACCTAAAGAGATCTGCACATGCTCAAGCTGCCATCGAATATTTGCTTTCACACAATGTAGTCTGCAGTCTTTAGATGTTTTACTGTGTGGCTGCATTGTAGTGCCTTGCAGGACTGCTAAGGTCGGCTGACTTCTACAAGACTTCACGGCGTTATGTTCCAGAAGACAGAATTCTCCATATTTTATTATTTTTATTTATTTTGTTTGGGTTTTCTTTTTTTCCGACCGAGCGATCGCCGCTTGTCAGAGAAGTTAGTGCCAACTTTTGCGGATTCTTTATTCAGTTCTTTATTATTTATGTGCTGAGCCAATAGCCCCAAGGCCAATTACATACACAGTACAGTGTAGATACAGGTAATGACATAATGGACGAACACGGATAATAATAATAAAACACATCATACAGTCGTGGTATATACTATATATAAATGTTAAAACATAAATCGCACAGCGCTTTGTCCAAAAAAGTACATTAGAAATGGAAAATTAATAGATGAATATAGGTAAAATATTGAATTAACGGATTTCCTTTTTAAAGGCTAGGATATATCTTCTGAATTTTTAGAGATTTGTCTATCTCCAGAACAGCATTCTTGCGGAAGAGTGGAGAGGAGGTGGTTCTGTAACAGATGGTACGTGTAGTGACATCGGTTCATGAACACTCAGTTCTTGGTCTCCTGCGAATAGGCCACACGATTTAAGCGGTACTTGACTGCATGTTGCCTGGAGCAAGTAAACGTTGCAGTAAGCAGCTGGCAGGATCATGCGGAGATATCTCTTGAACTAACTCATTGAGTGATGTCAAATGCACAGTAAGGGTCGAGAACTATCAACACCCGGCGGGCTTAGCCCTTCAATCAAGCAACGGCGCCCCGCGGAGCTAATCCTCCACACAGTGTCAACACATTCTATCAACTCGCAAGATTCTGGAGGTTGCAGCTCGCTAAACAACGCAGCTACATGTAATTAAATGTCTGTATTGTCAGTGACACCCCGAATAGAATTCCTCTATAAATATGTAACCGAACAAATAAGTACAGAATATCTCAAAGGCCTGCACCCTAAAGTTACCGGATGAAAAATGCCGGCTTCCAGTCACACCGATCTGCAGGTAGTTAGTAGTCATATAAATTTATATATTGTCACGATTTTATGGAGTTGCATCTGACTTATAATACGGATTGTAGATTAGGTGATTGTATTTAATGCACGTTATACATTCACAACTATGGACTACAGACAGTAGAGCGCTGTCGCTGATTTACACATTTTACAATTCACCGTTACACACTGACTAGGGTCCTCAGTTTTCGCTAGTCGCATCGTGGCAACGGATTTATCACAGCCTCACTGTCAATTCGGAAGATTCGGATCAGTTCTATTCCTCTGCTCCCAAGCTCATGTCCTGGCAGGCTGGCCTCTCGTACCTCTACTCGCTGACTCTGCTATTCATGTTGCCAGCTTCTGAACTCTTTCTTTTAGTCATTTTGCACTGACCACGTAGAAGACACAGCTTCTTTCGTTAAGAAGGCTTATTTCTGATCCGTTACCTAACAACAGACGCCCTATTGTTGTGCGCTTTGGCTCCTGCGGGAAAGTATTTGACGAGTCGTTATCTAGCAATGACTCTATACTTCACAATATACACATATTTCAAAACTCTATATACTATATATAAGTCAGTAGATTTGCCACTTATTTTGTGTGATTTTTTAGAAAGTTTCATAGTGAGGAAGTCCGTAATTTGTACTTTACGCCAACCATAATTAGGGTGATCAGAATACGTATAAAAATAATATATTCAGTTGCGTAAATTTTACGTAGTTACAAAATTAGTTGGCAAGGAATTTGATCACTAAGGCGAGTAAATAAGTAAGATTGAAATATGGAGGGGGGCAGGGGTAAGAAGCAAGAATTTGGAAGTGAGAAGTGCTCAAACGATTTTAATCTGAACGCTTCAAAAGAAAAGACGACCAGAAAGAATTATAAATAAACGGCGAAAGAATTGATCATGTCAGAAGGTTCGTTGTCATGTTCAGAAGAATCCACGTGACCCAAATACGTTCCGAAAACTTATATTGTGCTTCTTTAAGACCCATTTTAATTGTATCCTTTTTCCCTTCAGATATGCCTAATAAAGAAAAATAGGTTCACATTTCGAGGCGCAGTTTCTTTTTCGTTTGCTACTTTTTAATTTTGTGATGGTGAACGCCTACCAATGAGTCAGTCTTCATCCAAGGAATCCTACGTCTCGATTTTAAAAATTTAGAAAATCTCTACCGTCGAGGAGACAATAATTCACATCAAATAACCGTGGTACCCCCAAAGGAATCTCCACCTTGTCGTGGTGATGGAGTTTGCGTCACTCTGTGACCTGGAGAGATATGCCGGCGGTAGGGTTACCCATGCCGGAAAGGTCAAAGGGTAGAGTCCAGGATAAGAGAGACACCCTGGTCCTTCAGGTTTGGGGTTGGGCGAGAGGCTAAGAACCTCATCCTGCAAAAGGAATTTGTTCAGAAGCGTAACAACCAGCCTCGGGTCATCATGCGTGGGTCAATTCCTATGGCAGCACGCATTGGTAGTGGAGACTGGTTGTAGAGGAGGCCAGCCCTACCCAGGGATGTAGCGCCCAGTGGTGGGTAGGTAATTAACGCGGCAAGCACTATAATACACAGCTCTATAAATTATTAAACCTAAATACCTATATTTAATATAAAAATTTATTCTTAGAGAGATAGGATGGGATGGTATGGATTGGATAGATCTATCTCAGGATAGGGACCAGTGGAGGGCTCTTATGAACACGGTAATGAACCTTCGGGTTCCATAAAATGCTGGAAAATTCTTGAGTAGCTGCAGAATTGGCGGCTCCTCCAGAAGGGCTCAGCTCCAAGAGTAAGTAAGTAAGTAATTTGGAGAGTGATACGTCTACCAAAATTGAGGTTGTGGGTGAACAGAAAGCTGAGAAGAAGTTCCGAAAGAAAGAAAGAAAGAAAGAAAGAAAGAAATATAGTTACGGAGTTTGAACACTAGAGTTTAGCCATTTGAAGAAGAGAGTGGTTATTATTTGTACAATGTGATATAAGAGAGAGAGAGAAAGTCTGCATTTAGCCCACAGTGCGCAATTCGGGGTTCCGTGTGATCTCTAAGGTAACATCGATCATTTTCATCAGCAATTTCAAATGGTTGACCTTTGTAATGGAGATACAATATGTTTTCTATAAGACAGGAGCCGAATTTTACATTACAATTTAAATGAATTTCGTGTCCCAAGGTCGTGGGTATCCGTTGCGCTGACCACGCGACATTCTTTATCCGCTAAAGTTTGCCCACAAGCAACGGTCGCTCGGTCGGTATAGTTCGCTTGCGGACTACAGGCCACTGAGTTTCACAAGGTCAAAGCGCTTATACTCGTATATGCATATTAAAATGTTTTTTAATAAATCTGTAAATTATTGAATAAAAAAGAAATTTATACTGTGTGAGATGCCGTGACTATGAATACTATTGTCTTGTGGGATGTGGCGCCGTGTAGTCTGGTAGAATTTTATAAACATTTTAAAAGAACTTCTACTGGATTACATGACCTCACATCCCAGTCTATAGCCTCTCTTCAAATACGCGACAGTATTCTTATTCTGTCTGATAAGAGACCTTGCTTGCTCTAGCAATGTCACTCATGTGTGTTGCATGTAGGACTAACCTGCCGCTGTGCCCGTCTTTGCCACATTAACTGTTATACCGAGCGACGTATATACATACCTGCACATGACTTCATGCGTCAGCAGCACACGGCACATCTCCGGGTTCTTGTCCTGGCCCTCGTACATGATGGCCTGCAAGACAGACGACAATATATTTCATTACTCGAGTTTCCTGAGCTCCTTGTTCAACAGTGTTACTTCAACAAAGAAAACAGGCTTCTTGGATTTGGCACCGTGTATGTGTGGTGTTAACCGACGTTTCGGAGGAAAGTATCGCCTCCATCTTCAGGGTAGAAGAAAAATATAAGAAATCTGCAAGCGGAGAGACCGTGAGAACCGGTAAAAGCAGACACAGTCTTCTACCCTGAAGATGGAGGCGATAGGTTCGTCTGAAACGTCGGTTAACACCACATATACACGGTGCCAAAGCCCAGAAGACTGCTTTCTTCATAGTCACCGCCGTGAAAGCCTCAAATCTTACTTACTTCAACAAGATCAGGGGCTGAATAACGACGGTCACATAATTCATAAACATCATTCCGAAAATTGTGGAATGTAGACATGTAAAATATCCTAAATTAGACAACCCACTGCTAAACTAACATGGCAACATCACAGGAAATTTAAACTTTTGGAAGCGATGGAAACACACGATATGCATGTTATAATGTATTATGTACAATGTGCATGTAAAAACTCACGTATGATTTTGAAACCTTAACTCTGTAATCTAAAATATAACTTCAGAATTGGCAGAAATACATGCTCCTTCAATGTTCAATCTGCCACTGAAGAGAAATCGGTCGGATACGAGGCATCAGTTCTTGCAGCCACGGACTCTGTGCTGCTGTTACTTCCTGAGAAGACATGCTATCCGAAATTTTGTGCCTGTCCGAAATATGGCGCTTTTTCCTTGCATATATTTTCAGTTATTGACTACAATCCATTATGTTTTAAAAGAAGTAAGACTAAGTAGAAATTCTCTAAAGAATTATTTGCCTACTTTCCTTTGACCACATAGTAGTTGATACTACGCAGACCGCATAGAAGACACCACCCTTATCTGTTCTTCTGTTTTTGCGTATGTGTTTGTTGGCACAGGAAACTGTTTACTGAGCAGTGGTCTAGCAACATTAGGGGCGGACACACAAACACACGGACAGCTAAGTGATCTATTACGTCTTCTTTTATTTTTTCAAAATGAGGAAATTATTCTAAAATTTTCAGAATTTATTTTCCGTTTTCGCACAGGAAAATGATTGGAGTCCAGTGTAGCAGTTTGAATACGATGTGCGCCTATGACTGATAATGGTCTCGTATGGCCTAAATGTAGAAAACATAGCTTAAATAGTCTTTAACCATTAATGCACAAGATATTTCATTTACAAGATTGTATTGGTAACACGTATTCTGTTCCAGTCACTGACGTCAGTACTTTGAGAACAGCAGACAAGAGACAGGACTGAAGAACTCGGTAATCCCGAGTCTTCAGAATTTGGTTTGGATCCTGAAAAAGACTGGCCAAATGGGAGAAACTTCCTGTTTCCTTAAACTTGCACTTTCGTGAAAATAATTACGCAGTTTTAAAGCACCGACCAAAGTGCCGAAACACCGAACAGTCCTCTAACCCGTGAAACTTTGCGGGGCATATAAATTCTCGCTGACATCTGTGTTTGTTTTTGCATTCTTTACTGCTGTGTCCTTTTCCCCACGCTTTCGTACAGAGCAACATAAATCGTTTCGTGATGAGATTTAGATAAGGACCAAGACCTAAGTACATTTACGTAGCACATTTTATGCCGTGACATTGTGCTCCTAGATGGTAACAAAATCGCATTGTGTAATAAAGGGTTGCTACTGCAAAGAGAATAAGAGATGAATGCTGAAGATGAGATAAGAGCCAGAGGAGTGTCACGTGACTTTCACCATACCGTCACCCCGCTTCTCTTCACCCCAAATGCCCATCATCCTCTTTGTGAAATAGAAAATGGGCCCATAGGCCTCTAGGTCCTAAAAGGGAGATTTCCAGGTCTCGTAAACACATTCAATTCAATTCAATTCAATAACTACAGGAAAACATATTTTGATGAGACCACAAGGCATAATTTTGTTTCGCCGCTGTTTATTATTGTAAAACAAAGGTGGAAAGATGTTTTCCATATAGTGGGGCTACATATATATATTTTTTCCAATTGCGTCTTTTACCGTTTTAAGTAACCCATTCGCCTTAGGCCTATGTCCGTTTATTGCAGTAACAATCCACTAAACTATGCCATAATATTAGGCTATTAGTGTCCGAGTCTTCACCTTGGCGACCCGGGTTCAATTCAACATCACTTCATGCGTTTGTGGTGGACAATGTAGTATTGGGGCAGGATTCCTCCAAGTGTTTATATTTCCCCGGATAGCTCAGTAGATATAGTAATTAGACTATGGGTTGGAAGACCGAGGAATCGTGGTTTGATTCGTAGACACTGTACGGGGGTGATGCGGCAGGGGCGTGATGCTGACAACTCGCTTCCATTTAGTGTCGGGGCCCTGAATTATGGAGCTATACCTCCACGTCTTCATGGCTTGGAGCTTAATACATTAAGGCGTGGGATAAATCTATCTTTACTTCGGTTTCCAATGCGAGTTGTCTTTCCGCCAATGTTCCGTTTTCTGACTTCTCATCTAGGTACGTTACGATAGGTAATTTGTGACGTAGGCACCAGGGCGCTCAGTCGCACCCTTCCCTATGAATAAACAAGGGTCCACTGAACTCGCGGATACGTCGAAGATCGTTGTCTTTTTTTTATTTCAAATCACAAAATTTCTGAAGATGGCTGTGTTCTGCCATCAGATAAAATTATGAAGTCCGTTGGATCGAGACAATCGTTGTAGAAGGATCTTAATCGCGGTACAATGGATCCAAATATTACATTATGAAGGAAGAAAAGACATTTTCCCTAATGCTGAGGGATCTTTAATAAAAACGAGACATGGAAAACATTGAATGCACGTGTCAAAATACTGTCACTCCCCTTCCTCAATACACTTAGATTCATGTCTGCTGTTGGATGAATAATATATTGGCTATAGATATAAATTTTTACTTATTATATTTTGTTAAAAGCAGAATGAATGAAAGATATTTCAAACGGGGTGTTTAAGTTCTTAATGAAATACAAACTTATACCTACTGTCATATATTATTTGCAGCCTAAGTTGCTCCACTTTTGAAAAATTTGATACAGCACGATTTAGTTGGAAGCAGACTTAGTGTTGTGTAGTAAAATAAAAGGTAAAGCTATCCCTGTTAAGCTATCCCTGTTAACAAGCCATGCAGGCCCATTAGGATTGTGAGACTTCGAAATTCCCACATTTTCTAGACCGTCGGCTCACAGATGGCGCAGAGGTTGTCAGCCTTACGCGCCCGCCGCCCTTTATCCCCCATGAAGATTCATGGTACTCATTTCTGTTAAAGCCAGAGTCGACCACAGGACCATAGTGCGGCTGAATGGATTACATCATTTGAAAAATCGAATGACCTCAACAACAATCGAACCTGTGACCTTCCGGGTTTCTGCACAGTGCTTCAAGCAACTATGATACCGTATTCCCCAGTGTGAAATTAATTAAATTGATGAGGCATATTTTGTTCAAATAGTTCTGAGACTAAAAATTGCATCAGGCTCCTTTAAGAAATTTAGAGGTAAGCAAGAGGATAGATGAAAGTACTGACACGACCGGCCCTATCTGTATTCATTTCGTCTACCCCACGATGAAGACGTGTGGGGGAGGTGAAATGAAGCTCCATGCATTTTTAAACTTAGAACTTGGAAAGGAATACAAGATTTGATAGCATTAAGTATTTAAGGTGGATGTATAGTTCAACCGTTGACGAAATAGTGACATTGTGGGTATAAACATCGCTCACTGGATCGTAAGGTAGTAAGCCAGTAAAGTAGGCTCGATCGGTAACGCCTCTGACTTATTCTGGAGGTACTGAGTCGAAACTCAGCCTCGGAAGGTCCAAACTGTCAGAGGTTGACCGAAATTTTCCTCAGTGCCTTCACTGAAACGCTTTATTATTACTCTATAATTCAAACTAAGAAATTTCGTTGTATATTATCACAGTGAAATCAATTACAACACAAATTCTGGAAATTAGACTTAACTCCTCATATTCTCGACGTGTTCCTCCGGAGAACCTATTTGCTTATGCGAAGGAAGTTGACAGACAGCCTTTGTGGTCTAGTGGTCATAGTTCCTGGCTACAGATCCAGAGATCGCGGGTTCTATTCCCTGCATTACCAGATTTCCTGAGAAGTAGAGGGTTGCAATGGGGCCATTCAGCGTCATGAGGATAACTGAGGTGTTATTTCAAGGAAATAGTTGCTCCGGTCTAAAAATCCGAGATTAAAGGCCGTGGGGATTCGTTGCGCTGACCACGCGCTATCCGCTAAAGTTGGCACTAACTTCGCCCTCAAGCGGCGGTCGCTCGGTCAGTATAGTTCGCTTGCGGACTAAAAGCCACAAAGTTTATTTTATTTTATTAAGGAAATTGAATCAGTTTAATTTTCATGATTTCTTTTGTATTACTAAATGTGTACCACTGAGGATGACATTGTAAGTGTCGAAACATGTCGAAACAATGATGGGTTTAGTCTGATTTCGAGAACATATATTGTAATTGACTGTACAGTGGTAGAACAACATTACTGATTGCATCAGTTGCACAAGTCGACATCGAAATACGACATTTCAATCTATGCCACATCATCTCAGAAGTGAACAACTTGCTGTCGTAGTATTACGGCTCGAATCCAAATTCGGAAATGGGAAATTTAGATTTTTCAGCTCTTATTTCGGAATAATGTCCTAGCAAGGAGTTCTACATAAAAAGTTCCTTGGCTTTAGTCCGCAAGCGAACTATACAGACCGAGCGACCGTCAATTGTTGGCGAAGCTAGTGACAACTTTAGCGGATAGTGGGTGTCGCGTGTCAGCGCAACGAATACCCACTGCCGTTAATGTCGGTTTTCTAGACCGGAGCCGCTATTTATCCATTCAAGTAGCTCCTTAATTATCCTCACGAGACTGAGTGGACCCCGTTCCAGATCCACTATTTCTCAGAAAATCTGATAGCAC